ATACAACTATTATTGTAAAAATAGAAGGATAAATAGTAATACATGTACAGGAACTTGAGGGAGTAGGGAATGAATGGATGAGAATAGGTAGGGGTGAAAGTTTGCGCAGTTTGGTAGATGCAGGGGTTAGGGGAAAGCAAATGGAAAGGATCTGGGTGAAAAGACAGGATAATGGATGGGCAAGGTCCAATGGTGATTGATTTTATAAAATATAATGTATGAAACTGATTGTATGAAAACACAGTGTGATTGAAGAATAGTGTGAAACAAAATATATGTATAAACTGTGTAACCAAACCAATTTTTTAAAATTAATGCAAAAAAAGAATAATAGGTACCAATTAGATCTCAAGGCATCATGACAAATGATGAAAACACTGAAGTTGTTAAAGATTACATTTTCTTTTATACACTGTCTACACTCATGGAAGCAGCAGCCATTAAATGAAAAGACAGCAAATCTGCTGTCAAGGACTTCTTTAAAGGGCTAAAGAGCAAGGTTGTAAGTTTAAAGACTAAGATACACCTGCCCAGAGCAATATATTTCAAGTATTTCAAATGCATGTTGAATAACAATAAGAAAGACTGAAAAAGAATTGATGCCTTTGAATTGTAACATTAGTGAAGAATGCTCACCAATATAGCATAAACTGCCCAAAAAACTATACAAATCTGTCTTTGACGTGATGTAGCCAGGGTTCTCTTTAGAAGCAAGGATGGTGAGACTTCCTCTTCCATAATTTGGGTATGTTATTAAAAGGGACTAGTCCTTAGAAAATAGAGGGTCAGTGAAAGATAGGAAACCTTCACCAAGGTGGATTAAATTGTTTCAACAGTGGGTTTAAGCACAGCAGAATTTGTGAGGATGGCACAGAGCTGGACAAGGTTTCCATCTTGTATGGAGAGTCACTATGAGTCAATTTGAAGGCACCTAGAATCAAGAAGTGCACACTTGACCATGTCTAACATTCTGTGAGATGGTCTAAGGTAAGGTTCTGCCATTGATACTCGTGAGAGTTGACTGTGTTCACTAGACTCTGGGTGGAGGCCCCTTCACTCTCAGTTCTGCTTTTCAGGCCCACTGGAATGACAGTGGTGCTCCATTAGAGTTGAGTGACCTCATGCTACAAATTCAACTGAGTAGCTGTCAGGCCTATTCTGCCCTTTGGGCGTGAAAGCCCCTCCTCAGCTCTAGACAGTGGACTCATTCCCTGTGACTGATCCATCTTAAGTTAGTTTTTTGTCTGTGGTGTGAGGTATGGATCTTCTATTGTTTTTCTACAAATGGATATCATCCAATAAAACAATCACCATTTATTTAAAAAACTCTCTTGCCATTTAATGAACTTTAGCTCTTTGTTGAAAAAGATCAGCTGTCCATAGATATATGGATTTATTTCTCTGTCTTTGTGCTCATTGATTTATGTGTCTTTCATTGTACCAGTTTTTGTGACAGTATATCACCTATTTTGAAGTCTGAAAGCATTAGACCTTATGCTTTGTTCTTCAAGACCCTTTTCCTTAACCGTGGTCTCTTTCCTTTCTACAGAAAGTTAGTGATTGGATTTTCCATTTCCTTAGCAAATGTTGTTGGAATTTGTATTGAGATTGCATTATTTATTTAGATTGCTGGTTTAGTTATTTAGTGCTACCACACACAGATATCACAAACTAAAGATTATTACCAACAGAAATTTATACTCTTACAACTTGTTGTTGTTATTAGGAGCCATCGAGTTGACTAACTCATAGCAATCCTATGAACAGCAGATCTGAAACGTGCTCTGTCTTATACCGTGCTCACAATCTGATAATGCTCAAGCTCATTGTTCCAGTCACTATCAATCCCATCTTGTTGAGGGTCTTCCTCTCTTAATATGATCTTCCATCTTTTCCAGCAAGGTATCTTTTTTCCAAAGACTGGCCCCTCCTATAAACACATCAGAAGTATGTGAGATAAAATATCACCATCTTTACCTCTAAAGAGCACCTTGGCAGACTTGTTTGCTCTTTTGGCGGTCTATGAGATATTCAGGACTCTTCCAAGACCAAAACTCAAAGGCATCAATTCATCTTCTTTAAACCTTTTACAATTTTCAGATGTATAGGAAGCAATTGAAAAGACTATACTTGGATCAGGTGTACCTTAGTCTTTAACATCCATGCTCTTTGACATGTTGGTGAGGTCCTCGACAGCCAATTTTCACAAAGTAGAATGTATTTTGATCTTTTGATTGTTGTTATCACATCTGTTGATTGTGGATATAAGTAAAATGAAATTGTTAATTTTAGTTTCAGCTCCATTTATTATGATGCTGTCTGTTGGTCCAATGCTTAAGCTTTTAATTGATGTTGAGATGCAATCTATATTGAAGGTTGTAGTCTTTCTTTGATCTTCTGCACTTCAAGTCCTCTTTACTTTCAACAAAGAAGGTTATGTCATCTTCATAATGTAGCCTGTTAGTGAGTCTTTCTCTAATCCTGATGCCACATTCTCTTTCATGTAGCCTAGCTTCTCTAATCATTTGTCATACAGATTG